GGTCCACACGAGTCCTGGTCCTGCTGTGGGTCCACACGAGTCCTGGTACTGATGTGGGTCCACCCGAGTCCTGGTCCTGATGTGGGTCCACACGAGTCCTGGTCCTGATGTGGGTCCACGCAAGTCTTGGTCCTGATGTGGGTCCACACGAGTCCTGGTCCTACTCCGATCCTGACAGAGACTGTTTCCTCCAGGACCAAAGCTTGTCGGTACTTCGATGAAGGCCGTGGATCGTGTCCGTTTGGGTCCAACTGCTTCTACAAACACGCGTTCCCTGATGGACGCCTTGAGGAGGCCCAACCACAGCGACGACAAACTGGATCCAACAACAGGACCCGGGTAACTCCACCTCATGTACTCTAGACCTGTTCTCATGATCTCCTAAAATCATTGTTGGTCTGCAGCAGCTGTTGGGTGTTGTCCAACCATGGTGTCTACACCTTTAGCCCCCCACCCCCAGTAACATTCAGACATACCTTCACCTAACCATGGTGTCTACACCTGTAGCCCCCCACCAGTAACATTCAGACATACCTTCACCTAACCATGGTATCTACACATGTAACCTTGTATCTGTGACTTTCCTTCCCTCCATTGATTACGGTGACATTATTTACATGAACGCTCCTACAAGAACCCTGCAGATGTTGGATGCTGCAGATGTTGGATGCTGCAGATGTTGGATGCTGTCTATCATGGTGCACTAAGATTCATAACTGGCTGTGATTATCATACCCACCACTGCACCCAGTATTCACTGGTTAACTGGTCACCATTAACTTCACACAGACTCTCTCACTGGTACATCTTCATCTTTAAATCACTTCCTGGTCTGCTGCCTTCATACATCTCCTCCTACATGTCTCTGTGTGAGTGCAGCTACAGCGTGCGCTCTCAGGACATCATTACCTGCAGTGTTCCCTCAGTGAGGACTGAACTAGACTAAAGGACCTTCTCCTACTCCGCTCCTGTTTCCTGGAATATCTTGTAAAAAGATCTGAAGCTCTTGACCTTTGACCTCACTGAGTGGCTTCAAACAACTAAGTTGTTGGCAAAAACCAACGCAGACATGTTCCTGTTTTTAGTATTTTACATAATTTTACAACCTAGTTGTTTTTGTTTCCTTTTTTAATACCATTTTATTTAATTTATTCTTCTTAATTTGTATGCTTTCTTTTATGATTGTCCACTGTTGTCATCATTCTTTGTTAAACACGTTGGTTACTTATTGTAACCCCTAGGGGTGTAATGGTACGCTAAAACCACATTTCAGGTTGCTTCAGTTTCAAGGAGGGCTCGTTTCGGTTAATTTTCGGTACAAAAAAGGCCAAAATAAAGATTTACAAAATGTTTATTTTAAAAATATGCCAAGTAAACAAGTTCAGTCATTACAGACTTCTTAGCTGGAGGTGATCTGGTGGATGAAGAAGAATCAGCTGCTGTCATCCTCAGACTGCAAACGACACAGAGATAAAAAAAAAAAAAAAATTGCGTTAATGACATAATTTTAAATTTAAAAAGTTAATTAGATCACAATAATACAATAACAATACTACTTCTTGCACTGTCATCATTTCTGTTATGAGGCATGAAGTGATGCTACAACGTTTTGGCTGAAGTGTTGATGTGATGTCGTAGCGGGGCTCAAGTCTTTAATCATATGCTTAAAGCCGGCACATCAACAACAGAATATGGACATAGATCCATGGCTTTAAAACCTCCTACAGCTTGTGTTGTTGCTTTGGACCAATCTGAGTTACCTGATAAAGGTTGTTTTAATGCTGCTGCTATCGCTCTTTGCAACAAGCTGCTTGAAGAGACCTTCACATTCGGATGATGTCATTTCAAGTTGTTAACAAGTTCGACGTGTTGCTGCTGCAGATCCAATCTCTGTGAATCAACGTCGACTCACAGCTTTGGATTGTTCACTTGTCTTTTAACAAGAAAACCATAATGTTCCCAAACAGGAGACCGCAACAAGAAGCTAATCAGAATAATCAGAATCAGAATAAACTTTATTGGAATTGCACCGAGGTACAAGGCGAACATGTACGTACAGTCGTCCAAAAGATGGGCCGAGTGCACGAAACTGCAACTGTAGAAAGCGTGGCCTTCTTATCCTTATCAGATAATAATCTTAGATAGGAACAGGGGTAGAAACATGAGGGTAGATAGTGGTATTACAATAAAAGATCTTTCACATCTTGTCCATCAGGACACGATTTGAGACATCAAAAACTCTTCCAGCAGCTCAATTAAAACATGATCACGTTTGCATTTGACATCGAGGTGTTGAGATTTGTCCATGAGCGTTTTTTCAGATCAGCCACAGTTTCTGAAGATGTTGTTTCAGCCAGCAGTTCTGAGAAGTTTGCACAGAAAGTTCTGGGGTGGGGGTGTGGGGGGGTGCGATAGATGAAGCTTTTGTCCTTGGGTACTCATGTCCCAGGAGAAATTTGATAGTCGGCCCGTCTCCGAGGCCGTCGGGAGTCAGATTTAGATAAGCTTGGTTCTGGTTTTTCTTCAGGCAGAGATTACTTTTTTCTTCAGCCTTGAGTCCATCTGGGCGTTCTGGTTCCAAAAATGCCTAATTGTGGGATTCCATTCCACTGATCCATGCTATGAGTTACCACGCTGACGAGTCCCAGAAGCCGCAGGTGGCCTGCGATTCTCATAAATCGCCTCCACCTTACAGTTAAGCTCGTAAACCAGATGATTTAAAGTTCCTACTGCACGGATCAAACCTTCACACTGACTCTGAAGCTTTTCCATGGACAAAACTGCTGCAATGTCTTTTTCAAAAGTCGATAAAACAGAGCCCCGCCGATGCCAAAAAGCAGAGTCCCTGCTATCATAATTCCAAATCCATCCATCCATCCATTATCTTCAGCTTTTTCCGAAGTCAAGTCACAGGAGCAGCAGCTTGAGCAGGGAGGCCCAGACATCTCTTTCCACAGCCACCTCTTCTAGCTCTTCTGGGGGGACCCCAAGGCGTTCCCAGGCCAACCGAGACACATGGTCTCTCCAGCGTGTCCTGGGTCTTCCCCGGGGTCTCCTTCCAGTCGGACATGCCCGAAGCACCTCCCTAGGTAGGCGCCCAGGGAGCAGACTTACCAGATGCTTGAACCACCTCAACTGGCTCCTCTCAATGTGGAGGAGTAAGATAACTGAACTTCTCACCCTGTCTCTAAAGGAGAGTCCAGCTACCCTGCGGAAGAATCTCATTTCAACCGCCTGTATCCACAATCTCATTCTTTTGGTCACTATCCAGAGCTCGTGGCCATAGGTGAGGGTAGGAACATAGGCCGAATGGTAAACGGAGAACTTTCCCTTACAGCTCAGCTCTCTCTTCACCACAACAGACTGATACAGAGTCCACAATACTGCAGACGCTGCACCAATCTGTCTGTCAATCTCACACTCCATTCTTTCCTCACTTGTGAACAAAACCCAGAGATACTTGAACTCCTCCACTCGAGGCAGAACCTCACCCTTGACCTGAAGAGAGCAATCCACCCTTTTCTGGTTGAGGACCATGGCCTCAGATTTGGAAGTGCTGATTCTCATTCCAGCCACTTCACACTCTGCTGCAAACTGCTCCAGTGAGAGCTGAAGATCACGGCACAATGACGCTAACAGGACTTACTACCGGCAATGAGAACCAAACTCTCGCACCGCTTGTATAGGGACCAAACAGCCGGTGGCAACGAGTCCCAGTCCCATACTCACGGAGCCACCCCCCCCACAGTGTACGTCAAGGAACACGGTTGAATGCCTTCTCCAAGTCCAGAAAACATATGTAGACTGGATGGGCAAACTCCCACAAGCCTTCGAGGATCCTAGTGAGGGTAAAGAGCTGATCCAGTGTTCCACGGCCAGGACGGAACCTGCATTGTTTCTCCTGGATCTGAGGTTCAACCAGCGATTTTTATTCGCTTCTTCAGTACCCCTGAATAGATCTTACCAGGCAGGCTAAGGAGAGTGATACCCCTATAATTGTAGCACACCCTCTGATCCCCCTTTTTCAGGAGAGGAACCACCACCTCAGCCTTCGAATCCAGTGGCACTACCCCCGATGTCCATGCGACATTGCAAAGGCGTGCCAACCAAGACAGCCCCACAACACCCAGAGCCTTAAGGAAATCAGGGTGAATCTTATCCACTCCTGGAGCCTTATCTGAATTCGCCTGGAGGACATGTAACTGACGCTCTGCTCCCCCCACCCCCACCCATCGAGGAATTCCAACTGATCAACCTGAGGAAACCAGCTGAATAAACATCGTGTCATCATTTCAAGACTCTTGGATTCCCATAGGCGTAGTCCTTGGTCATTCCCCGACATCCCTCGAGAATGTTTAGGGATCTCACCGAAGGGAACTGGTCGATTATTCCATCCTTATCAGAACTCCTACAGTGCCCTCGAGCGTCCTTAGACATGCTCACTGCTTTCGTTTTATCCCGCGGAATGTCTGTCACCATGTGCTTGTATGTGCGAGGTGTATTTCAATATCAGGTCTTTCTCCTCAGCCAAAAAGAAAGAGTTTGATAGGAATTATTTTTTTGCTTCCAATTCCTACATGTGTCCAGTTTCACTACTTTTTTGTCTAAACAGATCTCACTTGTAAATGAGTCCTTGAGGCTCAATGAGACTAACCTGTAGAAATAAAGGTTGAATGAATGTTGTCCCCTGCTGGTGTTCTCCACAGAGTACGCGACGACCCCCCCTCTGGGACATCTTTGATGAGCGGGCGAGCACAGACTCCTTGGACACGGAGGACGAGGACATGGTGACGTTCGAGCTGAGCGAGATGCTCCTCATGCTGCTTGCTGCAGGGACGGACGACGAGGCCACAGACTCAGAGGACGAGTGGGACTTGTTTCACGAGGAGCTCGACGATTTCTACGAGATTTACCTATAGCACCCCCCACCCCCACCCCCCGCCCCACCTAACATTTACTAGACACTAGAATGGACTGTCTTGTGTGAGTGATGGACAGTAGCCCCCCACCCCCACCCCACATTGTGGCAGTGCCTTTAAGCAGGCCATTATTAAATGAACTTATAAAAGGTAAAAAAGTAACCCCCCCACCCTGCCTCCGTGCACTCGTGCTAACCTTTTCTAGCCCTCTGTCCTCCTGAGTCTCCGTGTGCTTCTGTTCCGTGATCTGAAGACTCCGTATAAAGTTTAACAGAATGATCAGAGATATAATAAACACTGTCAAGTTTATGGGCGTGGCTTTGCCTGGTTTCTCACCTCTGCAGGTGTTCACAGGCAGACAAACTGCTCACAGCTGCACACCGCCATTCATCGTGGGGGGTGAGGAGGACTGCACAGAACCAACAGGTGAGTCCTGCAGGTCTCTAGTGAACCAGCAGTCCCTGTCCAGCTGAGGAAAATACTCCAAAGTTGGAGCTGTTTAAAGTTTGACAGGAAACTGATCAGATGACGCTAAAAAAGTTCAGTCTGGTCCTCTGGACATTCAAAAAAACAAAACAAAAAATGTAGAAACGTTTCGTCTCTCATCCTGAGGACTTCCTCAGTCTGAGGTGCTGTATTCAGCTCAGTCTCTTAAATAGCACCTTCTCAGAGTGGATCAACCAGTTTGCTGCTGACAACCAAAACCAGCTGATCACATGCTCAAGAAGGACCATCAGCCTAACAATGGATCATTAGCACCTGATGGCTGTTTACTGTTCACAGAGGGCTGAGTGATACTAGCAATCACAGCATTGTAAGAGGGGGACAGTTGAACCTGGAGGCTCCGCCCCTGTTTAATGATGGACAGTTGAACCTGGAGGCTCCGCCCCTGTTTAATGATGGACGGTTTCTTTTCACAAAGATGGCCTCCTTTACTCCTCTCTCAAACCATCGTTCCTCTCTGTCCAGGATGTGAACATCTTCATCCCTGAAAGAGTGACCTCTGACCTGGAGATGAGTGTAGACCTCAGAGTCCTGACTTGGGTTAGACTTTGACTTGCCCAATGACTTTGTTTAATTTACTTTAAGTTGAACTTAATTTAAATTGTGTTTTTTAAGTTTAAATTACTTTAAGCTCATATTTGTTGGTTTAAATGACGTTAAGTTTAAATTTGTTCATGTAAGTTTACTTTAAGTCACGCTGTACACACGTGTCTGTGATGTGCAGAAGCATGTTTGATTTGGTTTATACACTTTGTTTAAATGCAGACGTGGTTTTTCATTCGTTGCCTCGGCAACATGCAGCTGGAGCACGTGCACGTGCACGGACATGAGCAGAAACAGAGTTCTATACTTGAGCTGTATTTTCCACAACTGCAGGAGATGAATACAAATCATTCTGTGGGTGCAGCAAGAACCTTGATGGGCTCCTGGGGGGGACATTTTATCATCAGTATATTCTCAGGACACGTCATCATCATCATCATCATCATCACATTTCACAGTTTAACTTGTGAAATGTGACAAACTGTTCCCCCTGAACCCCCCCCCCCCCAACATTTAACAATTTTCTGATGATTTGTCAGGAAGTCTCTCTCAAGGCAAAGTTACTGATGCAGAACCTCCACCATGTTGGAGGAAAAGGGGGTGGAGCTGCAGGAAAGGGGCGTTTCATTTCCAGGACTAATCATGATCGCTGATTGGTCAGTTACTGACTACAGAATTGATTGACAGGTGGCCTTTGGTCCTGTGGCTGCACCTTCAGGAAGTACCAGAGGAAGAACTCTTCTGGCCAGGAGACTCTGGAAGGATCCACCTGGGAGAAGTTCTGCTCATCTGGACCTCAGGTAGCTCTGAAAGGTTCTGCTCATCTGGACCTGGGTAGCTCTGAAAGGTTCTGCTCATCTGGACCTCAGGTAGCTCTGAAAGGTTCTGCTCATCTGGACCTCAGGTAGCTCTGAAAGGTTCTGAACAAATCAGACATGAGTCTTGCCTGGTGGGTGTGGCTGATCGGGGCGGGGCGGGGCTAAGAGGGGATTTGGTTTTTATTTTTTGTTCTGAAAAAAAAAAAAGACTTTGATAAAAAATAATTTAACTGATTCCAGTTTTTAAATGTAAATAATGAAACTTCTTACACCAGAGTTGGTCATGGAGTTCCTCAGGGTTCTGGGCTTGGACTCTCATGAAAGATGAGATCAGAACTTATTTTCACCCATCGGTCCAAAAGAACCCTGCCCCGCCCACCATCACACTGTCCGTGTTAGCTAAATATCTTCTGGACCACTGGACAAGTTGTAATGAAATGTTTTGAAGAAACATCTGGACCTGCACCTGATTCAAGATGGCCGCCGCAGCAAAGAAGTGTTCAGAGGGGCGTGGTAGTAGCGGACACCCCCTGGGGGCAGCATGGTCTCAAGGCTGGGTGTCACATGTCTGTTAGCAAAATATCCCCAAGTACAGATGTTCATAGAACTCGTTTGCTGCGGCGGCCATCTTGAACCGGGTCCACTGATGACTTCCTGAGAGCACGAGTCCTGGGATATTTTGCTAACAGAAGGGGATGTGTAATGACAGCAGGTCCGGTCCAGCAGGATCTGGTCCGGTTTTGCTCAGTCTCTCTAGAGGACCCTGAGGTGTCAGTTGTGGGGGAGGCGGACCCAGAACCAGACCCCCTCCCAGGTGCTGCTCCTCCTGGCCGGTTCCGGCAGCATGAGCTCCGGGGAGGTGTGGGCCGGCGGTTCTGGCCGGGTTCTGGTCTACAGGACGCTGAGCTTCGTGCTGCTGGTCCTGCAGGGCGCGGTTCTGGACTTCTACCTGATCTCCTTCACGGACCCGTCCTGGTGCTCCTGGATCGCCACGGACCTGGTGGTGGTCTCCGGGTGGGCCGGCTTCTTCCTCAAGAACTCTCGGAACCGGCGGGAGCGGGCCTGCGGGTTCCACCAGAAGGGTTCGGTTCCGGGCCGCAGCCTGGGGGAGTTCTCCTGGTCCTACCTGGCCTGGCTCATCTACGTCATCGCCTGCACCCCCAAGGTGGTCCTGATCCTGGAGACCGGCATCCTGGACCTGGTGGCGCTGAAGGTTCGGTTCGGGCTCACCGGGCTGAAGGTCGCGGTTCTGCTGTCCGGACCGCTGCTCTTCTGCCTCATCAACTCCATCGTGCTGGACCCGGACGGGCCGAGCCGGTACCGGGCCCACTGCTGCTTCCTCGGAACCTGTCTGGACCTGCTGGACGGGTTCGCGCTGCTGGAGCCGGTTCTGGGGGGCCAGGTCCAGTCCGGGTACCTCAGGTACACGGTTCTGGTCGTGTACTTCGTGGCCCTGGCGGTTCCGGTCGTGTGGCTCTACGAGCTGACTGAGGCCGAGCTGCGGTACCGGTGGATCTGGGCCCGGTTCGGAACCGGCCTGCTGGTCAACTGGCCCCTGCTGGTGGTCCGGTTCTTCCAGGTTCTGGTCCAGCAGCAGCCCGTGTCCGTGTTCCTCTTCAAGAACCTCTTCTTCCTCCTGACCGGACTCCTGGACCTGCTGGACCGGGCCGCCGCGCTGCGCCGGTACCGGCTGGGCCGAACCGAGCCGGCCCGCTTCTCCCACTGCGTGTCCGAGACCGACATGTGTCCGCGTGGGTTCTGACAGAGCCGGTCCGGAACAATTCAGCTGCGGGGCTGAGGGGGGGGGGGGGGGGATAGTAATTTATTTAACATAAATAAACATTTAGGTAAATAACAACATGTTGTTTATTGATGCGGAACAAACAGTGACGTCATGTAGTCGAACAGAGATAAACCTCTTTCATGTGTTTCAGAGTCAGAGTTTCTTTATTGTCATTCGCACCTCATGTGGTACATGTGGTGGAACGAAATTATGTACACGGGGTCCCAGTTACATCCAACCAGTTTCTGAACACACAACATGTTTACATCATTTCAACTCTCATGTTGAACACCTGACACTGCAAATAAAAAACTGATCAATCAATAATGATTGAATCAATAATCACATTTTCTGCCTCTGTACTTTGAACTGGTTCATGTTTTCACTCTGGAAGGAATCCACTGGTTGTACTGGTCTAATACAGCTGCAGTCTGTTCTGCATATGATCAGGTCACATGATCACCTGATCATTTGATCATAGGACCTGATCACATGATCATGTGACCTGATGATCATATGATCACATGATCATGATCAAAGTGTCTTGTGAAGTGATTAGGTTGTTGACCTGTAAGTCCAGTGTAATCACCGACAGCGCCCCCTGCTGGTTGTCTTCAGTCAACACGGTTCAACTTAGTTACACGGTGACGTCATCAGTCTGGGAGGGGGTGGGGGGGATACCTGAGCCGCTGGTTGGTCCCGCCCTGTGGTGCCAGGTCCAGGTACTGACCAGCTGTGAGCTGGGCCCAGATGTCTGACCTGAACCTTCAGGACCTTCTGCTCTCACAACCAGTTGTCCAGCTCTAAACTCTGCTAGACCAGAACCTCCAAGTCCCTGTGGCGGCCATCTTGAATCGGGTCTACTCTGTTGAAACTCCACCAGATATTTTACTAACAGACAAACCTCTACCTTCTGGGCCTAAAAGTTCTGGTTCTGATGGTCTGAAGAGCCCCAAAGAGACTTTAGAGTTCTGGTTCTGTCCATCTTAGTTAACAGTGTTGGGCTGGTCCGGTCCTGGGCATGTTCGGTGACCTTTGACCTCCTGATGATTGAGTCCAACAAGCAGGAAGAAGACCAGAAGCAGCACTCCACTTCAGGAAGGTTCTGGATCCAGCCCGACAGATGACTGTGGACCATCAGGTTTCAGGATGGTTCTGGATCCAGCCCGACAGATGACTGTGGACCATCAGGTTTCAGGATGGTTCTGGATCCAGCCCGACACATGACTGTGGACCATCAGGTTTCAGGATGGTTCTGGACCTCCGACTCGAACATTGTGTCCAAAGTCCACGGGTCACCTTCCACAAACCAAGAACTAACCTGATCCTGGTGGACTCGGAGTTTCACGACTCGTATGAAGGATACAGATTCTGGACCCAGTCTGGACCCAGGCCCGTCCTTGGTTCCACCCAAAAACTGATGTGGTTTCTGTGGACCCAAACAGCTCGGTGTAACAGAACCTTTCTGCTCTACTTTAAAGGGATAGACCAAACATTTTAAGGTGTGTGGGTTGATGTTCTGAGCAGTAAACATGTTACCTGCAGCAGAAGCTCAGCTCGTTTGTTGTGGCCGTAACGACGAGCGGCTGGCTGGTCTGAGCAGTGATTTTATGAGCCGAGAGCACGAACTCTCACATTTAACTCGTGATCAATCACATCCACGAACAAAGATACACCAATATCTTTTTACAGGGGGTGGGAGTACTGGAACAAAAAGTATTTATTCAGACCCTTTCCAGAAAATGAGAATACCATGGAGAAGTTGTGTAACTTCCATAATTCCATTCAAAAGTTCATCTTTAACAGACGATAGATTCAGGGACCACAATTTAAACTATTTCAAGTAGTTATTGTTTATTTTTACATCATTTGATTTATTTGTTTATTTTTACATAATTTGATTTAATTGTTTATTTTTACGAAATTTGGTTTATTTGTTTATTTTTACATCATTTGATTTATTTGTTTA